CATGCAAACAGTCGGTACTTCAACGCAAACCGTACGTGATATTTCTTTGGTAAATAGCAAGAATGCCCAACATGCAATGCATACATGTTATACTTTTCGTAATTTACACAGCCAGCCATTGGGGCTTTCTTCATCTAATTTGAATTTGAATTTTATTTAGAATTTCTCTTTATGTCATGCACAAATAAGAAGGAAGGCATGCATAACAAAAAATTAAAATAAATCATCTCTTTATTGTAATGAACAAATTTAAGGAAGGCATACCAAAAATATTCACCAAAAATATATAAGCCTAGATCTTTATTAAAATGCAACTTCTCAAGCCAACAGGAAAATATTTCACTCAGGTAAGATTATCTGAAACTCTGTTTATGGAATGAAATGGAGTGGAATGGAGTGCCATGTAATGTCACCCTCATCCTTGTGTTTCTAGAATTATGATATACAGTGTAGTAATGGAGTCTCTGTCTTTTCCAATAAGATAGTTCGTAATACAAGGATTCACACTTACAGCCATGTCCCTGAGATCGAGGAGATACAAAATCTTTACATACAAAATTTTGCTATAGCAGGTTTGAATGTGCAAAACACACACACACATGTTACACAACACAACAGGCGCGTATGCAGGATTTTTTACAAGGAAGGGGGGGTGGTTAAAATTTGAAAATCACGCCAAAAATTTCGCAACGACTCAGCCACCCGCTGAATAAGCGAGGAGGGGGGGGGGGGGGGGGTAAGAGGACATATTTTTTCTGGGGGGGGGTCTCAAAAATTTCGCAACGACTCAGCCAGCCGCTGAAAAAGCGAGGGGGGGGGGGGGTAAGAGGACATTTTTTGGGGGGAGGGGGTCCCAACAATTTCGCAACGACTCAGCCAGCCGCTGAATAACCGGGGGGGGGGGGGGTGTGTGTCCCAAAATTTTGAAAATTGGCCGATCGATATTTCGTTTCATTGGGGGGGAGGGTAAGGTCAGCTTTTTAGGGTCCCCCATTACCACATTTTTGTTGTTGTTGTTGTTGTATTAAACAAAAAAATGCAAGGGGGGTTTCCTCCAAAACACACATATAACAAAAGTTTGAGGGGGGTTCAACCCCCAACCCCAACCCCCCCCCCCCCCCTGCGTACGCGTCTGCAACACACACACCCCCTATTCACGTCATGAAAACCCAATTGACACTAACATTACCCAGATGTTCGCAATGTCATTCGCTTTGACATTAATTACAGCTATTACAGCTAGCACAATTACAACAGATTGAATGTTCTCAGTAATGATCATTTATTCATAAGCAGTTGCACATCTTGCATGATATCTGAATGCATGAATGCATGAATTAGTCAAATATTAAGTTTCAATTCAGCACATGCATTGAACGATACACTATCAAGTCATACAAATTGTTCACTTTATGCGTACATTTTGTTAGTTTATTCAGGTTTGAAATTATCCTCAAATTTCATGAATCAATGACTTAAGTTTATATTTGTAATTATCAAAAGAAATTATACATTCATACAGAAAGAACATAAAGAGCTGAGGCACAGCTCAATTACAGCTCAATTATGTTAAATTATTTGAGTGAATATTGCGCAATTATACAGACAAGGGTTATGGTAAGGAAATATTGTATAATTCAAAGTAATTGTGAAAGGATAAATGCAAACAGATAATTTAGAAATGCTCAGCAATACAGTTAACAGACTGGTTAAATAATAACTAGCTAGTATAAAAACTAAGGTAATAGCATGCCTAGGAATGAGTTTACATATACACCAAAGTAATTATGAAAAGAAAAAGTGTTAATACACAGAAGAAAAAAAGGATGAAGTTTAGCAAAGAATATTATACAAGACCAAAAAAATACAGCAAATGATATTAAATAATCATTTGTTAGTTGTATATGTTTACTAGTAAACCTGTACATTATGAAATTATGAATATATAGTTGACTTTAAGAAGTATGATTTACCATGATGTTTGAGCTGGTGCAAGCTCAAGTAATAATAAAAACAAGAACAAGTTTTTGTTATTATTGTAAGCACTTTTTGATACAGGTAACTGATTAGAGCACTGTAACAGCAAAAACAGTATACATGTTTAACTATTATAACATGTTACAAATTACACTTTCTGACAAAACTGTCACTCAAGGAACTACCATGGATGGTGGTACAAATCAGGCGCGTACGCAGGGTGGGGGGTTGAACCCCCCCCCCCCCGATTTCGTTGCGATTTTTTGGGGACTACCAAAAAACAAAAAAAAGTGTCCTCTTACCCCCAAGCAGGCTACTTTTGGGTAATGTGACCATAGCATTACCTGAACAATGTTACCAAGTCCCTTTAATATAACATAGGACAAAATAGCTTGTATTCACTGACATTTATTCATCTAGACTGTATATATACAAATTTCACGATTAACATGGAGATATTTATTAAGTTTGTAATCTGCTGCTTGAATCTTGACCTCTCTGACCTCACATAGATCAGGTTGTTATAGATGCTCCTATGACAATGGTGTGCATATAGTCAGTTCTAGTGTCACATCAGTTCAGAAAATGTGACAATACATTAATATACTAAAAATTATGCTCAATTTAAAACAAGAAACAAAGGTCAAGCCAGGCACCATTTTACAGATGCCCACAGTGCTGAGCAACTACACAAACTGACTTTTGCAACACCTGTGTGGAGAGTGGCAAATGTGGATCAATGTTTGGCCAAAGAATATTAGTGCCAGGCTAGAACTCAAACCCTGAACCGTTGATTAAGAGTCAAGTGAATGACCCACTTTACCAAAACATACATCATGCAATAGGCATAAGTAATTACCGTCAGATTTCATTATTGTCCACACTTTTTAAGGTTTATAGCAATCATAATATTTCTTCTAATTTTCAATTTGGTTCAGAGAAAAAACATAATATAGCACGTATTACTACTCATGCTTTATTGTCTTTGGCTGATGAGGTGGCACATGCTATCGATTAATCTTTACACATGGTGGGCACATTCCCAGACTTCCCATAAGTCTTCGACATGATCAACCACAATATTTTACTTCATAAACTGTCCCACTATGGTGTGCGTGGGAAGGCGTTGGAGTGGTTCTGGAGCTACCTTTCCAATAGAAAACTGTACATTTCCTTTATATAATGTTAATTCGGAATGTCATGGCATTAATTGCGGCGTCCCCCAAAGTAGCATATTGGGTCCACTCTTATTTATTATTTCTAAAAACGATTTTTGTAAGTCGTGACTGTATGACATATTGTCGTTCATACTATTTGCCGATGATACCAATTAAACATTTTCTCACAGTAATCCATTTACTTTTTTAGAAACCATTATATTGAGCTAACAAATTACCTTTAAATTTTCAGGAAAATAAATATATTCTTTTCAATAAATCAATAGGTTCTTTGCCTTGCTTGTGATAATAATGTGTTAGAAGAGGGGCCTCATATTATTTATTTTTTGGGAGTAGCCGTCGATATCAAGCTTTCATGGAAATATCATATTGATAATGTGTGTGAAACCATTTCGAGTAATATTGATGTAATAAGTAGATTACAAAATTGTCTCCCAGTTTCACCCTTTTTGCTTCTTGCTTGGGGGAATGTGCACAGATCGTTGTTAGATAGATTATTGTCATTACAAAAAAGGGCTATTTGTATTATTTGTATTTTTCGACATACGCTTCTATACCGACCCATTATTATTTGATAATAAATTATTAAAAATTAACGACTTGTAAATATATCAATTAGGTCACTTTAAATATGATAATTGTTTGTTACCTTCAGCTTTTGATTTTATGTTTAGTTTAAATCAATCAGTTCATAATTACCCAACTAGACAGTCGAATGAATTTAATTGCCCCATTTACGAACTATTTTAGCCCAGCATACGTTTATTTATCATTGTCCCAATTTTTGGAGCACTCTTGATATAGGCATAAAACATTCACTTTCACCCAATTCTTTTTAAAGAAAATCGAAATTATATATTTGTATTGCAACGTTATGAGAAAAGATGATTTAGTGATTTAGCCTGGCGGATACCGGCGCTATATAAATATCCATATTATTATTATTATTATTATTATTATATAAACAAAAAGTTCATCGCAAGATTAATCCCTGTTAGTGGTAATTCTAATTGCACGCTCTGCCTCTCCCATTATACTCTTAATTCTTACGTACTTCCTATTATATACACTGTCCTTCATTCATGGGGTCCACACCCACTCGCCCCTTTTATTTTGTATAATCTTGTTCATTTAGTTCATAATTCTACCCATGTGCTTCCACACTGCGTCCCATATGTTGATACATGTTATCTAATTCAGTAGTCTCCGTAGACGCAACACTTTTGTTATTTTATTTGTTATTCTTGTGTTAATTTTGTTATAACATTATTTGTTGAAGGGTCAACACTCTAGAAGCCATGTTTTTTGTGGATCCCTCCATTTTCACTTGACGTATTAATATATAGCAAGATTTTCATTTTTATTCGTGATTTAGATTGTATGATATAAAAAATAACACGTACACTTAAATAATTACTTTTCTACATTTTGTAAAATGTTGTTTGGTTTATATATTATACATAATTAATATTTTTCTTGTTCAAAAATGGAAATAAAACTTGAACTCAAACTTAAATTTAGAAACATATATCAGGAGTTTTGAAGTAACAACAAAGAACAATGAGGAGTTTGTACACAGATCTAAATACGCCTGTATTTCATAATTGTCCATTTATCGACATCTCCTAGACCCATTCCTGTATTTATGAAGTGCTCATCTCCTATTGATTTCATACTGATATTTATTTTACTAGGATGTTTTGCACTTTGTTTCTCAATATGATCAATTTATTGGGGTGGTATTTTGTTAGTTGCAATTTTATGTGTGCCATTGCAGGAACCAGAACACTATAGGTGACTTCAATACATCATCTCTTTCATATAGAACTTACCATCATTAGAGAATTAGTAATAATAGTACTTGGACGTTTTTTCGCTTTGTCTGTGAAGAAAACGTTTTTTCTCTGGTAAATCAGACGACTCATTCTCTTCCATATTTTTCATATGTTGGTTAATGTTTGCACTATGACATTTTATTAATTGCTTGTTGGTTTTCTCAACCATATAGAGACGTATTAGAATAATAACCATAATCATTACCAGAATGGCAGTTACACATCCCCATAATATTGTAATATTATTAGCAGTAGACTTATCCTTGTTTGTATCAGTCAGGTTTAGTGATTCTATGAGTTGGGGAAGCTGGGAGATTTCTTCAACTTCTCTTTCTGGGTATTGGGATAATGTTACAACAGGGCCTGGTGTGGTAGCAGGGCAAGGGTCTAAGACGTTTTTTGTGTGAGAAATACTCTCCATGGGATTCCACACAAAACCTGCACAATCGCACCTGTCTTTCGGTCGATCAAGGATAGCTGAACAACAAAATACAGGATATTCTTTTCTTGCCCAAATGGTTTGTTTCAAAGTTTCACCATTTTCAACAGATCCACTCTGTGGAGGCAATCTCTTAGAATCTTGGTAGCAGTAAATCCCCCCAGCCATACTGCCAACAGGAGCCATACATTGCAGTGGAAACCAGTCACCAACTGCACCACCGTTGATACTGAAGGTACAAGATACATCACCAGGAGGATAATTGACATTTAACCGTATCCTTGTTAACTCGCTCTGAGTGGCACCATCCCTGTATGCTTGGCAAATGTATGTTGCTTCGTCATTTTTATTTACAGGATTTATTTCAACCTGAACCGAACAATTCTCATTTGTCACACTGAACCTATGTAATTGGTAAACGGGCAAACTTAGATATTCTGGCTCTTCGGAATTGTAAAATGGAGCTCTATTTGCACTCTGTATAGTGACTTTGTTGCTGTCACATGGGTATGGAAATTCAAGTTGCACGGCTTCTTCCTCAGTACCCGTGACAAAAGAACCACTTCTCGATAATGGCTCAGAATAACTTCTTGTTAATGGGAACAGTGCAATAAAGATAACAAATACATATTTAAGTTCCTGCGACTGATCCATGTTGGCTCGTCGTATACTAGAAGCTAGTTATGTCTGTTTATAGCCAGATGGGCTCTAACTGTGTGATAATGAATAGAGTTAATATCCTTCTGGCTCTGAACAGATGGCTGACAAGTAAGACAAATATTGAAGGGGGAAGAAAAGCTCATGAAAATGAAAAGTTGTACAGGTTATGAATGCAGAAAACTTTGGCTTATAGCGAATACCGGGATTTAATTATGATGTTAGAAAATTTGACACAAAAAGAAACACACGTCATCAAAATACAAGTTTGTACAGTCAGCCAGTGAAAGAAAGTACTGCCTCTTTTGATCTTTGCTTACATTTCCTTCGTCAAGATAACGGTCAAATACAACGTATTTATTTGTCTACAATTCACTTTCTTTTTCCAATGATACAAGATGTTTGTTGAGATTGCCATTAAATCCGTTTCCGCCCAGTCACAAAGAATGACACCTTTATGCCGCTTATTGTTTGGTATCAGAGGAGTTATGTTTAAAGCTGTAATTACAACATCAAACTATATGAAATAAAACAATTCTCTTTCCTTTTCCTGTGTACCAGTTGCTCTTCTCACCATTCAAAAATGAGGAGGAAGACTTCCGGAGAATTCAAGCCTTGCAACAATTGTCAGATGTCTAGCACCACTAAAGTAGAAAGTCATACACGTTTCAATCTGCTCTTTCTGCCGTGAAGTTCGAAATTCAATAAAGGTTCCTATGTGGTTGATATTTCCATGAAATCCGTTGGCACCCATTCTCAAAGAAGGTTAAAAATCGACACCCTTTTGCAACTTATGGCTTCAGGAGAAGTTTTGTTCAAATCTGTAATTGCAACTTTAAAATTGCACCTATATGTTCTTTCAAATCGTGAATCAGTTTGAGACTTGAGATTTGCTGTTGTATCGATGACCATCAAAATGAGAACCAGCTAAATCATCATCCGGTAACGCTTTTTTCCTGAGAAATTGAAATGAGTCCACTTTAAATGACATCGCTAGGTACTCCCTAGTACGTGTATGTGTGCGGAGATCTGATCTCCACTGATAACAAAGAATAACAATATTAACATTTTAGAAAGTTGTGGTCTATCGAATGTAAAATCAGCAAATTATTATCTCTTTTGTATCAGCACTTCATTTGTTCTGAGCTTCGAAATTGTGAAAATATCCCTCGTGTTGCTTATTATTTAAAATATCTACTTCATACTGAAGGAATCCTATGTGTAAAGAAGTACTGTGTGTACCTTCTGTACATCGTTTCTTCTTTAAAGATTACTTCTTTTATAATATTTTTGAATAACCAGTGAGGAAAAGTTCCCCAAAATTTATTTCATCCCGGCCCAAACTGAACCCCCCCCCCCCCCCCTCACGGATTTTCTTTTTTCTTTTCCTTGCTGAGTGCTAGATTTTTTATATGGAAATCCCGCCAAGTCCAGAGTGGATGAACTGTGGCTCCTTACACTCAAAAGAGCATTTCTGTTCACTTCGCCTATGAATAGATTAATAGCTTTGATGGTCACTCAAAACAATCTTATATGTGGTACAATCACAAAATATGTTTGTTCTCCAAATTTAATCAATATTCATCGGCATCTGGTCACAGATTGTAGAAAAAACTGAAGTCTTACCTTCTTTACACACATGTTGGCTGAAAAATTGCAAATGTAGAAAGGAAAAGCTCGCTCATAGTGCTGCTGTTAATTTTCCATCCTCACAAACTGGTGACCAATTAGCAACTGGTAATTAACCGTATTCATTTTGTCAAACATTCAAAAACTTGACTTTTGATATCTGTCGTTTCTACAATATTGATGATAAACCAATATCGGTTCACCTTTAGATATGTAGATATTTGTTGTTTGTAAAATATGATGATAAACCAATATTTCAAAGTTTGTATTATTATTATTCAGAAAATTTCCCTATTCAAAAACCAACATGAACCTCACATTCTGTTTGTCGAACGTTTTAGAACTTAACTTTTGATAAGTAGATATCTGTCGTATGTACAATATTGATGAAAAACCAATATCGGTTCAACATTTATATTATTATTATTTAGTATATTTCCCCAGCCAAAACCAACAGGAACTTCACATTGTATTAGTCGGTTAAAGGCATGCAAATATTGACTGTAGGTACTGCGTTCCTAATGAATTTAATCCTGGAAAGGATGAACCTCAACAAACACAATTTCTTAGTTTCTTACGTTGTAATGTTCGGAGTACAAGTAAGAATATTGAAAACAATAATATATTCCTGTTATCATCATTACAATTAGATTGCTCAGTTATAGGCATTACAGAAACATGGTTAAATTATCAATCTCCACCTTTATATACCTTACAAGGTTACAAACGAAATATGTAAAGAAGGTCGAGTGGTAGGGTGGTGGACTTCTAATGTGTATCGCGGATTATTTATCTTTTAAGCGCTGACATGATATTTCTTTCCAAAACGAAACTGCGGAACTCTTACATGTATGTATTGAAGTACGTGATCTTCGTAAGGAAAATAATGTTATCGTTTGCGTTACTTCTCCTTTAAAAAGAGCTAGGGATCGACTTCATGTACATGCATTTGTCCCCCCCCCCCCCCCCCCCCAATAAAAAAATAAATAAATAAAAAATAAAAAAATTATAATTCTACTTCAGTCAATATAATAGTTTATATTTCATAGTGATGTAAACAAATATTATTTTCAATAACACACAAGAATGTGCATTTTTTAATTCTTTCAATGTTGGAAAAAACAAACAATAAATACAGTTGTACATATCTCTTCAAAAGGTCAATTTGGTTCCAAAAAAAATTAAAATCCATTCATGAATGTTTCCTTTAAATGCCTATCATTAAAAAGGTTTGTATCTCTTCAATTTTACAATGCAGTTTGATATCCCACTAAACTTTAAATATGTATCAAGAATGATTTTGCATATATCTCTTCAAGAATGTCATTTGCTATCCAACGAAAAATTATAGGCCATCAATGAATAATTATGTCCTTTAAATACATAATTGACTGCACACTGTGCACAGCTCATTGACTAATGAAGGCCAGCTGGCTGAGCAATGTCATTCATCAATGATCTACATAATACATGTTCGCCCTCTGTGTAGACTGTAATCTGTATGATCAAACATAATGGCAAATGGCAATGATAAACCACATCCAAATAAAAATGATCCTTCCATTTGAAACATAATCCATGTATATTCTGCAATGACTTGCAATGTGAAATATATGTACGCTAAGCTCACTGTAAAGCTACAGTCCCATATACGTCCCGGACCGTCCCGGACCATCCCGGACCCCATCCGGGGTGATCCGGGATTCGGTCCGGGATTCGGTCCGTGTTGGCACCGGGGTGGTCCTGGATGGTCCTGGATGGTCCTGGATGGTCCTGGATGGTCCTGGGCGGTCCGGGAGTCGACCCCGGATGTTTTTGACGGTCAAAAACTGCCGGGGTGGTCCGGGACGGTCCGGGACAATAGTTTGATCCGGGGTGATCCGTGGCAGTCCGGGAGTGAGTTATTGACCGCCCAGGACCATCCAGGACCATCCAGGACCACCCCGGTGCCAACACGGTGTCAATACGGACCGAATCCCGGATCACCCCGGATGGGGTCCGGGATAGCCCGGGACGGTCCGGGACGTATATGGGACTGTAGCTTTTAAAGCATCACACTTTTTTGAACAAAACATCCCGGACCATCCCGGATCAACCCAGACCATGGTCCGGGATGATCCGGAGTGGTCCGTGCTCGTCCGTGCTGGTCCGGCTTTATATGGGACTGGGGCTTAAGTACTCTGTATGTCAATTTCTTGGCACTGTACCATTGTACATGCGGCATGCCTGTACTGTATTGTCTGCTCGGTGCTTGAGGTTGTAACTATGTATGTCATATTTTGAGATGATGATTATTTCTAAGCAGTCGAATGTGTTTAAATACATCATTTTTCATTAGGAATGGTAAAAATTCATTCTTACTGCAGATCCATAATATATCATAATCATATCCATAGCTAGTCTAAAGGATAAATTCAGAAGAATCCCATACCAATATTATTACCCATTCGATCTTACTTCCCATAACCTTGTGGATTTGTTTCAACAAAACATGTATATTTGACAACTAAAGAATACATGTAGTTTGAGTTGTGTATGTACATGTACATGTAATAGTGCATGCAATACGACATTGCATCTTCATTGAATTTGAATTATTCATTCATTCCTTTTTTTCTTCATTCATTTCGGTTTATTGTGTCAAAATTCCATGTATTACAGGGTAACCCAATAAAATGCTCACTGTTATAGTTATTCTCTCAAAGTTTGGAAAGACTAATCAAATTTAGAGACTAATTACATTCATGTAGTGTAGTTCTGGTGTAAATTGATGATGATTAAATACAATGAGAACACTTTGGATGATTTATACCCAACACATTTTAAGGTACACCCTGTTCATGTAAGGTCTGAACAATACACAATCACTGCATTTTTCTTGGGTCACCCTGTAATCTCATCTTACACATTCATAAACAATCACCCAGTTGCCCAAAATATACATTACAGCAAACAATGATCAGACCCCCCCCCCCCCCCTCCCCCAATGATTGTTCAGAAAAAGACAGTAACACACAACACAAGAAACTGATTTTACCTTTTTTCGTTATATACTGTATATAATTTTTTCAGTCATGCATACAGTGTACATCAATATAAATTTCAAGCATTTGACAGTGGATTAATTTTCTATGAATACACAATGGTCTAAAGTGAGTGATAAGATCGCCGTTTCTGTCTCTTCAACTTTGTCTATTTTACAAACAAATATACTGTAGGCATAAAACAGTAGAAAATCTCAGAGCATGCATACAAAAATAATAAATAAATGCACTTATAGTAACTCTTGATAAAAACATGTTTTAGAAGAAAAATTTGATTGGGTTTAATGATAATGTTTAATAGTAAAAAGGGTTCTGCCTACACACATACATGTAGCCTATACATTGAGTGTATGTACATGTACATTTTCTTTCTTCTTCAGAATTAAATGTACAACTAGAATTTCATAGAAACAGATGTTATTTAGATCACTCTCTAATTACTGGGGTATAAGAAAACTATAACAGTTCCAAGTTCTGCATTTACTATTTTACTTCAGGTAATATATCAATGATGTAACATAACAAAAAAATACAGTCCAATATGGCACTCGAAAACACCCTGCATCAATGCAGACAAATGGGCAAAACAAACAGCAAATATTATCACCCAAAAATGAGCATAAGCTCAGATAAACAACCCTGTCATTTATGAATATTGCAGACAACAGACAGCATAAACATACTTTTAAGTAGCATTAGTGACAACTGTACATATTGCACCACAAAGAAATAACTGAATAAATCAATTTAATCAAAGCATGGGGAAAATGCCCCCGTAAATTCACCGCAACTAGCAAGACAGAGTTTACAGGGACATGTACACTGTACCCCAGTCTGTATAAAAATGAAATCAAATGGATTCAGAGACTGAGGGTAATTCATTTAAACCTCAATTTGGGATCCCAAACCCTAAAAAGAGATTTGAGCCTTTTTTTAAACAAAATACAAATAGCACAAAAACACTGAAAACGGTTGCAAATTCAAGGATTAAAAAAGACCTCAAAAATATTTCACTTTAAATCAACAACTGCAGTAACCTGAATGTACTTTTATGTAATACATTAAAAAAATTCAATCAGTAACATTAAATTCATCTTTAAGTACATAAATGACATCTGAGAGACGACGGACTTGTTCAAATATGTCGCCACAATGTTTTTTTTTTATAAAGTTGTAAATTGTTACTACTGTATGTACATGTAGGCTACAGTACCATGTACCGTACTTGATACTTTGGATGAGTAATCCCTCACATTTCCGAATCTTATACACATGTAACACAGAGCTCAGTGAATACATTCAGGACCTACATTGTTGCAATATATCTTTGTTGTGCGTCGTCTTTCATGCAATATACACTAGGGGTTCAGATTTCTTTTTATCATAGAGAGCACACAAATCAAAGGATTTGGAAAGCTGCTGATAATACAGTACTAGTACTTGTAATGATGACAAAACCATACTAATTTATCATGCATGTAGGCCTACACTACAATTATCAAAAATTTACACACAATTGTTTTACATATATTGTGATTTGTGTCTAGTTTTGGAGACTCTTCAGTCTTCATGAAGATTTGTTTGCTGAGTGAATACTCATTTGAGATGTGCAAATAAGGTAAACACCCTTTTAAAAAATCACCCTGCCCCGTAGCAAAATACAATTAATTTTAATGATGTTTTTCTTGTAAAATGTACAGGCCACCATGTTGATGGTGTATATTCTTACCTTTAGTAGGTATGTGTTCATACGACCTTTGTTAATGTTAGACATGTAGATACCACAGGCACTGTCTTTTCAATTCATTGCTATTCATAAATATTTAAAATACTAATTATTTTCCCAGGGCAGTTTTTTGAGGCAGTTTACTGTGTTATATGAGGCTTAAATTGCTGAACCATTTTCTAATCAGCATCCTGTTCGTGACTATTAAATAATTCATCACCAAACTGGTATAACTCGTGCTAAAAAAAACATCTTTGTAACACTTGGCATGCAATGGTTCTCCTACATGTACACTTTCAATGCGTAGAATACCTTTGATAATTGCATGTATTTTCTTAGGAAATCACTTGAATGTTCAATGCACTATCTCTAGATCTTATGTCTTTGTTCATTCCTTGCACTTTAAGCTATTTTGTTCATCACACTTTCACTGATGTGTTTAAGATACTTTATGATACCCAGTTCGTGCAGATACGTACATGTACATGTTTGTACAGTGTATGTAGGGCGGAGCCAAGCCCGGTTATTTCGATCCATGGTCTACAATTACATACTACTGTATCTCTAGCACTGTAAAACATTTGAAGATAAATGGTTTGAAAACCAGTAAACCACAAATATTTCAAAATCAAATATCAAATGACATTGTATTATACAATACATTCTTTATTTTAATTGCATTAGCACTCGGTGATGTAGTGATGTAATCAACAACTGCATTAATAAATAAAAATGTCCAATATTGCCTAATAAGCAGCACAGGTGTGTATCATCACATTATTACACCACACAGGTGATATTTCGACCTTGTAATTTCCGTACACTAGCACCCAGTTATGAAAAACTCTCACCCTTGAAATTACAAATGCATAAAACGTTTCAGCTCCTGAGTGTGCACATCCAGTGTTGCCCCGGCATGCATGTAGATCAACTTCACACAGTTCATACCAAGCGGAAGAAGTGCAGGTGATTCTAAGATCTCACTCACAATTCACAAATGCATAACAAATTTCAGTTCCGGTATTTCCCAGCCCAGGTTGGGCGTATCATCTTGATGTTCTTATCATACAGGCTATGCTTGAATGTGCTCACTTACAGGCTTACAATGTACATACTCTGTGATGAACACAACTCATTCACGAAGGCGGATGAAATTTCAAGTTCCTGTGCGTAAATGCCCAGTATTGCCCATGGGTGAACATCATCAACATGCAGTTCTTGCTCTAGAGAGACAATACTCGATTATCATCAGTTCCTCAAACAAGCATTCAGTGACGCGGAGATCAGCTCACTCACAAATGCACAAAGTTTTTCAGCTCCTGCGCATACACGTCCGGTATTGCCCCAGCCTGGTCAAACATCATCAACATGTAGTTCTTGCTGTATAGAGAGTTAGAAACAATACTCAAATATCATCAGTTCCTCAAACAAGCATTCAGTGACGCGGAAATCTCACTCACAGATGCACAAAGTTTTTCAGCTCCTGTGCATACACGTCCGGTATCGCCCCAGCATGGGTGTACATCATCTTGACGCTGTTCTTACCGTACAGTCGGTGTTCGTACGTTATCAACTGCTTCCAGAACCCCGGATTGGGGCGTATGACCGGACGACGCGATTTAACGTGAACGTGAGCCTGTTTGAGCGTCAAGTGCTCGTATTTCATGAGGTACGCCATCACAGAAGATGCCGATCGACTGCGACCGGCGTAGCAATGCACGACGGTTTTCCCGCCGCCTTTCTTTACACTGTTGATCTTGTCTGCGATCCGATCAAAGTGCACACCGAGCTGCGCCGTCGGGATGTCATCCACGGCGATCCGGACAAATTCAATGTCCCGTAGTTTGGGTGTTGGAGTCTGGAACGATAGGGAGATGTTGATGATGCAGGTTATTCCTTTGGCGCGCAGGGCTGTTGGGCTACTGGCCCCGTAAGCACTGGTGAGGTACAGGCTATTTGTAATCTCATTGATGAGGTGAAAGTGTGCATGGCCAGGAGATGCCATGCTGGCTCTTCAAGGTTTTGAAATTGTCAGCTATCTAAAACACACTATAATCACTAGAACTAGAACCAGAATCTGCACATTTTCATAGCACACATCGATATCCTGTTGTATATGGCCAACTCGTCTCTGGACACAGATAATAGTCTACATTCCAACTAGCACCATGTATACGTCATGTAGCCAAATCTGGAAAGAGAAGAAAGAAAAGGAACATTGATTTGTTGGATTTTGCAGGACTCATTATCTTCGAAAAAAAGTGGACCAAATAATTCAGTGTCAAACTTCATGGTTCTGTGCAGATGAGATATGCTTAGTTGGATAATGCATATAATTTGCCAAATGGGGTGGGAGTTTGAACAAAGGAAAGGTCCTATAAAGTTCGATCAAGCATACTGATATGTGCTTGCGAAGGTTACACATGATGTAAAAGCAACGTAATCTGTTTGAATTGGGGCATAGCCCATATCCGGTGGTGACAAGAAATAAAAGATAAAAAAAAATATATTATCGCACAAAAACACCTACGGTACACGAACAGGAATGGATCCTGGTTCCTAAATGGGGTGGGGGGGGGGGGGGGGGGGGGGGGGGGGGGAGGGGCATGATTTTGACAAGCAAAGTAAATTCTAGTTGTTTCAGTTCAATTTGTAGTTTAGAAAAATACATACATGTAATGTATGTAAGAGGAGGACATTAGGCATACATGTACTTCGAATTATCAGGTCATCGCATCCAGTGGGTGGTTGTTTTGCCAGACTTTTGTCAAACGAAAGAGGAAGATCATGTGAAGATGCACGAGAAAGACGCAACCTTTTGTAGATTTTGCTGTACGGCTTTCACAAAGTGTCAGGTAAATTGTACCAGACCATTTATAAATTAGAGGGTTTTATTTACAAACGTTTCGTGAATAATGTTTTCACAAAAGGTCTGGCCGGGTAATGCGACCACCCAACCCAAAATTCTGAAGCGATGACCTGATGTTTCAAAGTGAGCCAAAATTAGGGCAGGCACAATTTTCCTTACAGTATAGTACATGCATGTCTGCCCCCATGATTTTCAAGGGCAACCCAACCTTTTTAACAATTTTATTTTGTAAGAAAGCAGAAAAATAACGGCAACATAATGGTGACACTTTTAATTAAATGGGGGAAAAAAAGAGCTGAGCTGGGATGTCAGCTAACTTTGAAAGAATTAGAAAAAAATCAGGCTGAATTAAGCATGATTCCAGAAAAGCAGGCCAAGCCCGGGGCAATATTTTCAACTAAACTGTCACATAACCGCAGAGACGCCAAGTTCCAAGATCGGCAATACGTGACATTTTCATGATTCGGCGCACAAGCGCGCGTGCGAGGGTATAACACACGTCTATAAGGTATAGCGTTTTTTCAAAATCTAGCACGCGGGTCGTGCGTAAGAGCATTTTCAGACCCTCGAAAAGCGTGATGTCACGCCTAATGCGTGATACTTGGTAGCTCTGGAGACGCCAAATTCAAAGATCAGCTATGCGTGACATTTTCATGACTCGGCGCACAAGCGCGGGCGAGGGTATAATTAACACACGTATAGCGTTTTTAGACCCTCGAAATGCATGACGTCACGCATAATGCGTGACAATTGGTAGCTCTGTAACTGCTTTACTGTTACATTCAAGCACATAACCATGATAACACATGACAGTGATCACACGTTTGATCAACGATTGCATGTTCGCCTGAGAATCTGAGATTATGTCCGGCTCGATCCAGTCACGTCCACCACCTCTATCACTCTATCACTCAGTTTCTCTTGACATTTGACAAATGTCTGAACATTTCCCATAGTCCTTACCAGACTGTTATTTCTGTCTAGACTAGGGATGTATGGAATCAATAGACTATCTTCATGTAGACTCTACAGTAATTGACCTAAATCAATAACACACACATTTTAGTTCACGTCCAACGTCAACGAACGACAAATAAGACTTTTTTATCTGCATGTTCACCCTTACACACTAAAACATTGCACTGCCACTGGATCAAGAGTCTACTTACTTATCACTCCTTTCTTTGCATGTACTGTATAATTCTAAAACCAGAAGAAGAAGAAGTGTTAGAAGAAAATTATCCACTTGGGCATTGGTATGGCCGTACGGACGGCATGCATGCATCACGAATACTGTCGATCAATATACTTGGATTTCGATGGTTTACTTACGTAACGCGCGCATCATGCGGAGGATCTAGCAAGTGCCTAGATCACGACCGCGCCCCCAACTCGTGCAATAAATTAACATGAAGATGGGAAATCCCCGATTCAAGCATTCAAACGACGACGACGATGATGATGATGATGATGATGATGATGATGATGATGATGATGATGATGATGAACCTGAAGATGATTGGCGATAATGATTCTGTGAATCACTGTGCCCTAGTGTAAGCATTTATTGATATTAATAGTAATGTTAATGATGATAATCAGGCGCGTACGCAGGGGGAGGGGGATTGTTTTGGGGGTAAAAAAAAAAAAAAAAAAAAAAAAAAAAATTATACTCCTTACCTCCCCTCCCCCCCCCCCCCCCCCCCCCTTATAGTGAAAAGTTGACAAAAGTCAAGAATGAAACAAGAGTTGTCAATGATGGCCTATCTTTTTATATAAAAGGGGGAAAATATTATTAGCATTTCTGTAAGATTGCTCATTTGCATTATCCTTTTTTATGTACAATTTTATTTTTATATACATATTGCTAGATGTTTCTAAGAACCACTCACATGGTGTCCTCCAAAAGTGCATAGGTTGCTTTTCAGGAATCATATATTTACCTCCAAAGCTGACCCCCCTCCCCCTCATGCTTCATGCTCACAAATGATTTTGATGTATAATATATTAGCAAACAGAAGTTTCCACAGATGTAATCTCACACTCCACCCCCCCCCCCCCCCCCCTCCATTCTGTATGTCTGGCTGTCCTCTCTCTTTCTCTCTCACCTCGATTACACTATTCTCCATTCTCTCGCTCACTGTCATACATGTATTTCTCTGTCAACCTCTCTAGCTTTTTGTTTACAATGTTCTATTTTTTGACAAACCTCTCTCATCCCCCCCTCCCTCTCTCATTCTCTCTCTCTCTCTCTCTCTCTCTCTCTCTTTCTCCCACACACCCTCTTTATTCCTCTCTCTCTCTCTCTCTCTCTATCAATCTATCTCTCTTTTATTTCTGTTTCATGTTTTGTCTTTATTTATCATCCTCTTCAAATCTCTCTCTCTCTCTCTCTCTCTCTCTCGTTCTCTCTCGCTCTCAGCCTATAATCATATTTACTAAATGAATGAATCACAACACTGAAATTTTGTAAATTTCAAGTTTCTTTCTGCAAAACAAACATTAACAACTCTGTTGGGCAATTTTAGAATCTTTCCCTGAGTAATCATATAAAGCAGCATAGACTATTAAAATACAGATGCATCATACCATCTGTTTGGAGCCAGAAGGGCATTAACGTCAAAGGATATGAGTTAATCTCTTCTGGCTCTCAAGAGACAATATACCCTATGAAATTCAAAGGTACATGTATGTCTAACATTTCCACTGCTAAAACCATTTAAAGTATCAAATCTATTTAACGATAGGTAGACAATCAAGGAACACATGTGCTGAACAATTCTCTCCATGAGATGTAATTTGAAGGTTATTTGCATTTTCATTTAAAGTGTACCAATAACCTAAAAGAATACATTAAGAAAAATGACACTGATGTCAAATGTTTTGTGGATTCCATCATTCTTGGTAGCATAACATAGGATAGCAAATGACCAAATACCCTGAACTTGCCATAGGTACCGGTATAAATCATTCTGTGTCACCTGTTTCTGGGAGGGTAACTTAATCATTATAACACTCTGTATCAGATCTTATTGCACATAGAGGTATATCCCAGTCATTATTGAGTAACTATAGATGATGCTGTTCATTTAAGATGTTGTCCAATTCGGTGTGTCACAGAAAGCATCATATTCCATCAGAATGTTTAACAGTAACTTGCAGTAGAGAAGATGTCTTCGAATCAAACACAAGCTCCTCATTTTGATCACAGAAGATAGGAGTACCGTGCTCATCCGTGGTTATCACAATATGCTGTTTGCTGAGCTGCGTTACCGGGATCTGACCGAACTGTTCCGCTGAAGGCACGACCTTTGCATCCACCGCAACAAACTTATCAGCATCGCTATTTGATACTTTTCCATGAACCATCTTCAGGTGGCGACGAATGTGATGCCGCTTGCGAAAGCGGCGTTTGCACTCCAAGCAGATGAATTCCCCTGGGGAGTTATGCGACTCGATGTGTCCCTTGCACAGAGCCTCGCTTGTAAAACGCCACGTGCAGCCCTCAACGGTACAAGCAAAAGGCCGGGTCTCAGAATGTACCATCATGTGGCGCTTGAGGGCAGTCTTGCTTTTGAGTACTGTTCCACAAACATGGCAAAGGATAAACTTGTTCGGGTGCAACTGTTGGTGATCGAAGATATCCATGCGGACATCAGACGTGAAGTCACAGAGATCGCAGCTGAAGGTTTTCGTCCGGTGGGATTTCCGATGCTGGCTGAGATGGTAGGAAGCCCGAAATGCTTTCCCACACACCTCGCACAGGTGATTCCTGGAGCGGCTGTGGACTCCGAGGATATGTGTCCTCAAGGCACTTTTCCTACACAGGACTTTACCACACTCCGGACATAAACATGGCACCCGATTCTCAACATATCTCTTCTTCTTTTCCAATGTCTCCCCATTACTGATACACCCAAGGTGCCTTTTCTCTCGTACACCATCAGTCCTGGCAGTTCTTTTCCTACTTCCACCCGACACATGCTTTTGCTCAAGATTTCTCCTGTGGTACTCGGACAACATCATAACTTCTTCTCCTGTTACATTTTCTGGGAAGACCCTATCAGCCGGCACTTCCCTTGAAAACTCTAGCATTGCACTCTCCAGTTCCAGGACTTCCTTATGTGTCCTTTGCATATGATTCACAAGTCCAGCTTCACTGTCTAGGAAATCACAATGAAGGCATATGAAGACCTGCATACCGATGTCTGTTACCAGATTAGAGTTAGCGATATGAATCTGTCGGTGCCTGAGTCCAGATATGAAACGGAAGTCTCCTTCCTCGTATTCTGGCATCATCTCAGCTATGTCCTCTTCCGAATGTGGAGTCTCTTCTTCATGATCATCATCAACATCACTGAAACTGCCTTCGAAATCATCTCCTGTCTCGAGGTGTATTTGCTCCATGAAAGTATTGCTATCGTCATTTTCATCCAGATGATCAGAGTGTATAGAATCTAGAGCAGTGCTACCACCCTGTAACTCCTCAAAAGGACTGAGCCTTTCTTCAAGAGTGTCCTCTGTTACCTCTCTATTCTGTCCATCAGACTCTTCCTCTACATCCATCTCTTCTTCCAATTCCTCTATATGACCCCTAGAATTTGGAATGTTGGACAACCCATCATCCCTGCAAGGACTCTGAGAGCCGCTTTCCTCCAATTCACTTTCATTCTTATCCTTGTCAATACTGTCCATGACTCCTATCTCAGCACCGAAAGACACCTCTTCCGCTTCCATGACTTTTTCATTTCTTGATTCGACCTCGGCTTTTATGCATCCTTCAGCATCCTGATCCTGTTCCTCACTAGTTCTTTTGATCACTGCCTCGGTACCGATGATAGCATCACTCAAAATGCCCTCTCCTGCTTCAACTATTTCTGTCTCCTTCTCCACTCCAACAATCACTTCCTTCTCTGCTCCTCCAACAATGTGTGCCTTTTCTTCTCTTCCTTCATGAATTTCTGTATCCTCCTCTCCTTCACCTATTTCTATTTTCTTCTCTCCAGATCCTCCTTTCCTGCATGAGCCTTCTTCCTCATCATGTGGATCAACGTCTGCCTCTCCCTGGTCTCCATTTTTGGCCCTGGAGTATGAGTGATCAACGTGTGTTTTCTGGTCCCTGTCTGGACCTTCTAGTAGCGCAGCAGTTGCTGCAAGTGCTTCAAGGTTGTGGAAGTTTTCATAGTGATCTGTCAGGAGGATTTTTGTTGTAAAAGACTGTTTGCAAAGAAGACATTGTACCTCTGTCTGGACTTCATCTGTGGAGAATCAAAATGTGAAACATAAGTTTACAAACAAGTAAACAAGCTTTTCATGTTAAACAGGTAGTCCACTCGGAAATAATCTTGGTTTTGATAAAAGCAGAACAAATGAGAAAAACAATTCATTTAAAGTGTGGGCAATATGATTCAATTAAAAATAGGAAAGTTGTGAATTTTTGTAATTGTCATCAGTGAAACACAATTTTTAATGGGTCTACTAGGTACAAACGAGGTACTGTGGTCATTTTGTAATCCAAATTTTTCATTTTTGGCCATACACTATCCCTAAATTTCATGAAATTATGCAAAACTTTAAAAATCCATAACTTTCTTAAATTTTTGTCAGATTTTTATGAAACTTTCAGTTTTGTTAATTTTTCTCTATTTATTCAACAACTTGCAAATGGGTCAGACTTGCTTCTTAAAAAAATCTAATGAATGGACTAGACTCTACATTGGTGTCTGTCTAGGGACCCGTTTCACAAAGCCTTTTTTCAATCACAAATGACTAAAGTCAGTGACAAATCTGCTGATAACCAATCAAAAGCAAGGATCTCAGTAGACCGAAAGCTTCAGTCTCTATACCGTCGGTTGTTCCACTGAGACTACGTCTGGCTCCACTAGACCTCCGGTTATAGAGACAGAACGATCGCCTATGCCAGCCTATGTTGAAGATATCACGGCTAGATTTTAGCCGTTAGGCCCCTCCCACAAACATGAACAAACTTGCCACGGCCGTATTGTTATGCCCCCAAAATCCCCCAAAATGTCATTTTACCTCGTCCATATCCAATTTTACATTAGGCCTAGGCTATAATACATCAGTTCCACTTACTAACTTGATTGAAATAATCAGTTTAATGGTCCCTTTTAAGGAAATTATGGGTCAAAATCGACATCCATGTTGAAAATCTTGCAAGCCGTGTTAAACTCTCGCTGCCGTCAATCTCATCCCTTCTAGTCTACGCCGAAGGCAAAATGATTATGAAGGAAAAACTGTGCGCCATCTACACGTTCGTAATGGCGTTATCACAGTCTAATGGAGCCAGACGTAGTCTCAGTGGAACAACCGACGGTATAGAGACTGAAGCTTTCGGTCTAGGATCTCAGTAGCTTATAACAAAAAATGGCATTTGTCACTGATGACAAGTTTTGTGAAATGCCCCCAGGTAATAATTTTCTTCCCTGTATCCTGCCTCAACTTACGTTGCGAGTGGTGGCCGATGAACTTCAAAACATCATCAAACCAGAGATTGCAAGGCAAGCAAAGAACAATCTTGTGAGGATCATGCTTCATCTGATTATCATCGTCACTGGGTGTTGCTGTTACCATGGCAATTCTTTCTTCAGATTCCTCCATTGCAATATGATGACAGTGAGATGTTCCATCCACAACCTGTGCCGTGTCTGGGGGGCAAAAATTTCCACAGTAAAATCAGGTATTAATGGATGGTAATATTGAATTTAAAATGTGGTAAATGGGTGGAAAATTACAAGAAAAAACACTTGGAGCCTTAACTGTAGGCTTGCCCTCCGCGTAAATATTCATATATGAATGACTCACGCAATAAAACTAAAACAACAACAACACCTTTGCATTGATAGAGGAGATCAATCACCCCCCCCCCCCCCCCCCTCTCCCTCCTTTTCTTTAATTTATTAAAATAAAAACTAGGTCTAAATTTGTTTTGGTGGTTGTTGTTTACCTGACAGCTGAAGCCATTTTGTACTATTGAAGCTGTCCATATCCATTTTCCTTCAAATGTAGTACATGAACATTTTTCTAGTTTCTACCACAAACCATGTCAAGACAATGTCCATGGACTACTACTACTAGATTATATTTAGATTTATAAGTAACAGGTACATCAATTTCCCAAACAAAAATCCAAGCATATGGGACCAAGGTAAAGTTTGTCGTGATTCCCTCCTTGATAACATCGCATTTACAACGAATTGTACATTATATCTCCATTTGAATTAGTTGAATATTGTATTTCTAAAAGTTACATAAATAAAGAAAATATTACCATTCGTTCAATGTGTCCATTAGTCCATTTATTTAACTTGTTAGCTCAGTCTTCGAACTCGAAGTTTGACTTAATGTTTTCACCTGTCTCATTGCAGACAACAGATGGCGCAGGACTAAACAATTAATAACATGTTTCTCACTCAATCCCCAGATTTTCCACTCTAGATGGGAAGTTAAAAATTTCAGTACAAACTTTTACATAACATCGTATTTTGTAATGATAAACTGAATATTTTTGGATTAATGTAGTCAAATTTATGTTCCTTTTGTAGAAAAGATGTAGAAACATATCGTCATATATTCTATGAATGTACTGAAGTGTCCAGGATATGAAGTGAGTTGGGAAACAGTTTAAAAATGTTTCATTTTCTAAACTTTTATGCAATGGATTGATGTGTTGCTTGATTTCAGAGAAGATAGGAAAGATAATATATTGTTAAATTATAAATTTATTTTGGTCAAATATATATCATTTACAGTAACTGTAAAAAGCGTAGAAAGTTTGCAACTAGCAAAGAATATGTAAGACTGTAGAGAACTCAAAATAGGTTGAATATGAAAAAGCATTTAAAAAAGGACAAATTGCCAATGAGTAATATACAAAATTAGAAAAATTTACCCCTTAAAGCAGGAAGGCTATTTGTATATATATATATATATATATATATATATATATATATATATATATATATATATATATATATATATATATATATATATATATAAATTTATTATTTCGTTTAATTATTTGTTTAATTCCTACTCACACCCTCACTTTCTCATCGATCCTGAGTCCTGACACTGCATTTTTATGTAAATATAACAAATTTGTTTATTATTGGTTATGATCGAAGCAGCACCTTTACCTAATACTTTTTGTTCATATAAAAAAAATCTTTATTCAGATTGTTTAATTTATATTGAAGTAATTAATTTGCAAAGAAGATGAATGTTAGTGTAAAAATTGTTCCTTATCATAATTGTGCGAAAAGAATTTCTGTTTCGGTTTAATAAAATTTGACGGTGGACTATTAGGCTATTATTATTATTATAATAATAATATTGTATCCGAAAATATCAATATAAAGTAGTACCGTCACCTTTTCCTTCTCATTTTTTTTATATTGAAAAATCTACTCTTTTTTGTCTTCCAAATGGCAGAATTGTATCACAATTTGTATACTTGATTGAAGATGTACAATATTAGTTCGGACTTACTTATGGAAAATATTTTTTAAATATGTCTGTGTTTATAATGTATGAGACAATGTACTATGTTTTATGTTCCTCTTTATCATTTTGTATAATTATGAAAATCTGAATAAAGGCAAAAAAGTTTTTTGTTAAATTAATAAATAAATGGAGCTTGAGGGGAGGAGGCAAGGTTAATAGGAGGGGAGAAGATGAAGAAGAAGAAGAAGAAGAAGAAGAAGAAGAAGAAGAAGAAGAAGAAGAAGAAGGAGATGAAAAAGAAGAAGAAGAAGAAAAAGAAGAAGAAGAAGAAGACGACGAAGAAGAAGAAAAAGAAGAAGAAGAAGAAGAAGAAGAAGAAGATGAAAAAGAAAAAGAAGAAGAAGAAGAAGAAGAAGATGATGATGATGATGATGATGATGATGATGATGATGATGAAAAAGAAGAAGAAGAAGAAGAAGAAGAAGGAGATGAAAAAGAAGAAGAAGAAGAAGAAAAAGAAGAAGAAGAAGAAGAAGAAGACGAATTAAGAAGAAGAAGAAGAAGAAGAAGAAGAAGAAGAAGAAGAAGAAGATGAAAAAGAAAAAGAAGAAGAAGAAGAAGAAGATGATGATGATGATGATGATGATGATGATGATGAAAAAGAAGAAGGAGAAGAAGAAGAAGAAGAAGAAGAAGAAGAAGAAGAAGATGATGAAAAAGAAGATTAAGAAGAAGAAAATGGGGAAGAAGGAAAAGATGAAGAAGAAGAAGAAAGATGAAGAAGAAGAAGAAAAAGACGAATTAAGAAGAAGAAAAAGGAGAAGAAGAAGATGAAGGAGGAGGAAGGGGAAGACCGAGGATAACAAAATAATAGGAGAAGGAGAAAAGTATAGGCCTACAGGAAAATTAAAAGAGACCGTATTCTAAACTTATCGTCAGTCACTTCAGATGGACTACCACTATCGATTTTTTTTTCTTTCTTATATTGATGTACATTTATAAAGGTATTTTCCAAAGGCATTGTGGATAATGATTTTTAAAAAAAATAAGGAATAAATCACATTGGCGCTGGCATACATGTACATGTCATGATGTTTACATAATACACCAATTATTCACATATTGAAGCAAGCGACCATAAATATGTCAAAATATTATGGTATCCTTGATGGTATATGACCACAAAAAAAGACTACCCGTATATGAGGCACTGTTTGGTATTGGAACTTGTGTTAATATATTTTTATTTAAAAAAAGAGCCTAAGGCAGATTTCATTTAATGTGAATGAGTTACAGCTGATGGTTAGAGCCCATTTTGATCCGTGATCTTCAAATCCAACATGATAAGGGAGGGGGGAATGTCTCATATAATTTAATGATATCTAATTATTTATCTTCTGTATTTTGATAATTTCCCTTGGCAGCGATTTTAAAAAAATGGTATGGCCATCGCATTGGATAAAAATCTAAAGATATCAAATTTCATGACACTGTGGGCCTCATACTCACATTTTGATTTTGATAATTGTTACTTGTAAGTAATTTAAGCTTGCATGTATTTCATTCCCTGTATTTGTTATTGTTTTGTGTAATTTTGTTTTCATCATTTTACGAATATGAATAATTAGGTATCAAATATCAGTTCTGTTGTCCTGTGGAAACTGTAAGCACATAAGGCCTATTTTGACCCATTGATTAACAAAGTTTTACAGGGCCTACTTGACAATGATCGTCACCAAATACTTTCCAGAGTAGTATGAGAAGACGTCCCACGTCTCATCTAGGATACCATTAACGTGATCCTCAGTTATTTGAAGATGTGACCTCAAGCGCTACTCAACCGACCATTCTAAGGCTAAAAGTAATATTCTTGTATAAAATTAAGTCACAAGACTCACAACGTCAGGAAATTAATATAAATTACAAATCTATTTGAAACAATTATAGTAGAACAGGGGAACTATAATCAATAACATTTACGCTATATTTTACAGGCGCAAATCCAGGATTTCTTAGAGGGGGGGGGGGCAAATTTGAAAATCAATACCCCCTCCTCCCCCATCTTAAGTAAGCTTCTCAAGATACCACACCCACTTGCCATAGCACATACACGACTATACTAATCAAAACGTTGGTCAAGTACAGTAAACCCCGAGTATATACCGACGCAACCGAAACAGAAACCGAAACAGAAGTGCCACGCCTATTTTATTGATGAACATCCAGATTAAGTATAACTTATACACATAAGGCAAACATTTCTTGAAGAAAATAAGTTGCTAGCAAACGAATCGCGTTAAAAGTTAAAGCTCAATTATAATTTTATTTTAAATCAACAACAACAACAAATCAAAGGACCTATAGCTGGATTACAACAAAACAGTGTATGTCTCGGTATGTTTCATCCCCGTTTCATAATGCATGGAGCATGTGATATATTAGTCGATAACTTCAGTTAGTTGAAAAACCAAAGTCGATCACCAAAATATTTGTTGCCACTGAGCGAAATTGCAGAGGTATGACATTCTATTTCAAGTTATTTCTGTAATCTTTGATGTTAACACTTCATTAGAAGGCTTTCTTAATTTTGTAATTTGAATTTGAATTGACAATTTTTAGGCAAAACCGTGTACTTTGGGAGTTAACAAACGAGAGAGCGGTTGTTGACTTCGACCGCATAGTTTACTTCGGTCCCGTACGTGATTTTCTACGTAGGGGTCTAGTCTTAAAGAACTTTTTATGAATATAAATTATTGTCACATTGACCATGTTGACATTGTTATTGACACGGCGTGACGGCTGAATCAATACTAGGAGCATTAATATAGTTTGTGTGGAATTTAAAATGGAAATCAACTGATTTATTTTATTCCAGTCATTCCCGTATCAAAATGATTTTAGAATTAGAGTAGGGTCTAGAATATTTAGATCTAGAGCATCACATTTGAAGGAGTTTTAACAATAATTTTTACTTTTCTCCTATTTGTTTTTAAAATGAGCTGGATTGTCGTCAGACAATCTCTTACTAAAGCACACACCTACACAGATGTGTAAATCAGAGTAAACATCCTGCACCCAGCCACCCCCCCCCCCCCCCCCCCCCCAGGTGCATCTTAATGTTTATCTAGACCCTACTGACTAGATCTAGATCTATGTGAGTGTGTCATGCAGTTTTGAAGATGATTTTTATCAATTCCTATTTTGGGAGTGATTGGTCCACGAATCCACTTTTTTATTATACTTATTATTTGCTTGTCATTATACTTATTTTTTGCTTGTCATTGCAGGTTTGCATAGCATGAACCCAAAGATGAGTCTTTCCCCGCCGCAGCAGCAGCAGCAGTTCCCTGCCATGAACTCACCCCAGAGGGCAGGCGGCTCCTCCTCGCTGTCCGTTCCGAGTGGGTCCTCTAGCCGCATCAAGGCTGCCCTGAAGCCTGGCCGCTCCCTGATGGACTGGGTCCGGCTAGGCAAGCAGCAGGGTAAGAAGCTGAATGGCGTCCAGGGCCAGAAGATGGACGTCTCGGAAGAAGAGCTGGCCAAGCATAACAAGATAGATGATGGCTGGCTGGCAATCAGAGGTGAGTTCTCCTTCTGCTTCTTCTTCTTCTTCTCGTCCTCATCCTCGTCCTCCTTCTTCTTCTTCTCCTCCTTCTCCTCCTTCTCCTCCTTTTCTTCTTCTTCTCCTCCTTCTCCTCCTTCTCCTCCTTTTCTTCTTCTTCTTCTTCTTCTTCTTCTTCTTTCTTCTTCTTCTTCTTCTTCTTTTGCTTCTACATCTTATTATTCTTCTTCTTCTTCTTCTTCTTCTTCTTCTTCTTCTTCTTCTTCTTCTTCTTCTTCTTCTTCCTCCTCTTCTTCCTCTTCCTCCTCTTCCTCTTCCTCCTCTTCCTCTTCCTCCTCTTCCTCCTCTTTC